ATGTTCTAAGTAATGGTTCGATGCTGTGTTTGCAGTTGTATAGGGCTCATTGTTATTACCTGTGAAGGCTCCAAAATTGCCGAAGATGGAAATTGGATAATTAAGAATATAAAAACGTTACTTAAAAATTTTCAAAAAGATTTGGGTTTATTGTTATCAGCAGATGGACATGGTAACTTGGCTCCTTATGGACAGGACTTGAGTCATTTATATAGCATACTGCTTCGTGGCAAATTGCCTTGCAAATGCAAGAAAATAAATTGCAATCTCTAATGAATAATAAATAGGGCCACCTTTAATATGAAGGTCCGTTCCAATTTTGCTTTTTTCTTAAAAAAATTTTTTATAAAAATTACTTACCTGCTGTATAAGCACTATGTCGTCCCAAAATAAATCCGTCGCATTATTATCGAAGGCCTCTAAAAGAAATCTACGTAAAAAAGACCTTCGTGCCATAAAAAAAGCCAAATTTGAAAACCTTGATATTTCTGTCGTTGGAGGTAATACTAATTCCACATCCAATATTAACCTGGCCGATGAAAGAGAAGATATTTTCTACAATCCTCTAAAAGTAAGTTAATTAATTTTGATACAAGTAAACCTCTATTATTTATAGTATAGTCTTCTTAGGTGTACTTTTCGCCTTTCGAGGCAGGCCTAGGATCTGAGTATTCCCTCCCTAAGTTCTATTATTATTGTGCTTACTTTTTATTGAGGGCATGATCGTCAAATCATGATTATCTTATTAGCGAGGAGAGGAAGACCGAACGAGCTTCCCGTTTAATGCTGAGCTATAAGATAAGAAATGATTCGAATGTATCCACCTCGAAATATTTTATTTAACTTCATAATAAAACATTATAAAGTATATCATCTCATGAGATATTTCTGAATATATATTCTTTAGCATAAAACCCAAGCAAAAACCCGCCAGTCGACCAAAGATGAGGCTCGTAAATATATCCATACCCGATGGATATCTGAAGACTTTTTTTCTAGTGATATTAAATTGACTAAAATTTCACAGCCTTATACTTTGATAGATCCAAAATTTACTTTCGTTAAAAAGTTTTTAGAAAGAAGGCAACAAAGACTAATTACCCTTTCTTTGCCACCTCAAATAATTCAACCGACACCCATCGACTACTCTGAAATACCGATACAATATATGACTCTGCTGGAGTCTAAGATCTTTAATGAGGGCTCTTCAAATTCGACACCTGAACAGTGGAAAGAGTTTGGGTTGTGGGCTAATTTTTCAAAGGTTCCCAATTTTAATAAGCGATTTCGCCTTCACTGCCGTCACCTCTGGTCTAATGTTATACATGCACACAAAGAAGCCCAGAAAAAAATACAGGGAGAATATAATATCTCAGAAACATTCAGCCGATCATCAAAAAATAAATTAGATAAGGCAAATGAGATCACAAAGAATGTAGCTATCGGTAATAAATTTGAAGGCTACTACCATGTCTTCAATCCACAATGTTTCAAGAATTCTTTCGGTGAAACCATAGTAGATTTTTTTGACCTACCCAATACAATGCTCATTGAAGATACAAGGATGGTAGTAAATCAATATTATAATCACAATATCAATAATAAAAAACATCAATCAAAGGAATTTAAGAAAGAATTAGTGGAGCATTTTGGAGCCTTCACAGGTAATAACAATGAGCCCTATACAACTGCAAACACAGCATCGAACCATTACTTAGAACAT